CTCAAACTCACAGAAATCGATATACCTCTGATACCTGAGCTCCAGAATTACCAGCATGTATCACAATGCATTATTAATTAGATTTTAATGTATTTCATTTTTTAATTATGTATATATTTAAGTGTCTGCATATAAGCAATTATACCAGCTGGGTACAGTACCTGCCTAGGCTAGAAGAGGGAGATAGTCCTCCAGAACAGAAGTTACAAAGGGTTGTGCACTGCCATAGGGTCGCTAGGAATTGAATCCAGATCTTCTGCAAGGACAGCCAGTACTCTGAACCACTGAGTCATCCCAAACCAGATTATATTCCAAATAGCTAGATTGCCCATTTTCTTTGTTGTGTGTGAGGGTTAGAATATGCTTGGCCTATGGGAATTGGCAAGATGAGGAGGTGTGCCAATTTTAGAGTAGGTGTGACCTTGTTGGAGCATATGTGCCACTGTGTGAGTGGGTTTTGAGGCTCCTATTCTCAAGCTCTCCCAAATGAGGAAGAGAGTCTGCTGCTAGCTGCCTGCAGAAGACAGACTCTCCTGGCTGCCTTTGGATCATGATGTAGAACTCTCAGATCCTTCTCCAGCACCATGTCTACCTGCAGACTGCTATGCTGCCTGCCATGATGGTAAATGGACTGAACCTCTGAACCTGTAAGGCAGCTTCATTAAATGTTTTCCTTTAACGGAGTTGCCTTGGTCATGGTGTCTCTTCACAGCAATAAAACCCTAGGTAAGACATTGTGTATTATGACATCACACTGATTGAAGACTAAATGTGTGCATGAAAAATCAATTTATTTTACCAACAGAAGAATCAGTACCATGGTAGGAGGATGGGAAACAGATCCATGAAGCAGAGATTCTGGCTTCATAGGAAAGATGAAAAGAAAACAGCAAGAAAACGATGAGCTATGTTCCTTGTCACGATTCTGATTTCATGGAAAAGGTGATGTGGGAAATATTGTTGATCTCGCTGTCATCTGTGAAGCTTCAAAAGTAAAAAGCAAGACAAACAAACAAAACAGGAAGACTTGCATGAGCTGATGGTTCTGACATGAACTTTTCTGAGATTGTAAATGAAAAACAAAAATTAATCGATGACGAATATGGTGGAAGGTTTGATTTTAAAAATGACACTTGTCACAGGGTTAGGCCTATGTTTGTTCTTGCTTGACTTCCATAACTCTATACCAGCCTTTAGATTGACAGTTTTCTGTCTAAATATTATCTACCATAAAACTTATGTTCAAGGTTGTGCCTGAGGAGACTTCTACAAAGTTTATCTACATTTACAGTATTTCCAAATGCAAGATACATTCTTGACTATCACAAGTATCACTTATTTTTAATAGTCAAGAGTTTCATGAAATTCTTATCCTTCACCTTTAAGGTAAAAGAAATCTACACTTTGCAGTAGGAGAGTTGCTTTTCCCCAAGTTATAAAGACTAACAGCAACATAAATCAGAGCTTTGCCACCTTTGATTACATATTTAATTAGAATTATAAATAGAATTCCTCTGTTCAATGCATAACTAACAGACTAAAGAATGAATTTCTAGCAGATTAAAATATTAACAGGCTTGGCTGCCCTGTTTGTACTCACCCATATGGTGTTTTTATTGGCTACAAGTGTCTGTGACAGAGAACAAAGGAAAGAAATAACCACAAACAAAAAGCGTCGTTAGAGCTCCTTAATAACTCCAGTGACTTTAAATAATCTTAAAACTCTGATTTAGAAGTCTGAAATGATGATTATCCTGAATATTTTCAGGTGCTTTCGTTTGCTGCGTGATGCACAATGATATTACCTGTGGGCACCAAATGCTGGATATTCTCCTTTGGAATACTGTATTCCTTGGCCAGCTCCCTAAGCTCCTGCTTCTGTGCTTCGCTCAGGGTCTCTCCTTTCCCTACATGCATGGAACAGAAAGGTAGAAAAAGTGTAGCTTATGATACTGGATGGCTCAGAACAGATGCGGTTACAATGGGTTGTGTGATATTGACCCAAGGAAACAGCCTACTTTCTGGACCCTCCCTCATCCCCACCAGCCTCATTCTGGTCAACCTAAGATCTCTAAAGTAAACAGAACACATTTAATGGAGCTGGAATGTCGGCAACTATGACAGTCTACACACTAATGAATACTATCGTTAATTGTGTTGCTGTTGTTGCTATTGCTGTAATTACCATTATTATCGTTGTTGTTGTTGCTATCATCGCTACTACTACTCCTACTATTGTTATTATAGTTTTTCATGCTTTCCACCTCACCATAATATTTATTTCCAAAAAGGCCTGTACAGTATCCTGATGGTTAAAATATGTGAGCTAAATGTTTGTCTATGCTTTCCATCTTACTTCTGTGTAGATTCTGGAATCCATGCCTTGGAATATTGATAATTATTGAAATAAGCAATGTAATCAGACTGGACAGGTTCATGAACCTGAATTCAACAAACACCCCAACACCATCACACATTACCACTTACCCACCCCCACTACAATCTCCCATCCCCCAGGCCCAAGCCTCCTACTTTACTACTACTCCCTCCCTTCCCCTCACGACTTTGTCAAACAAAGCAAGATGATTGGGGTTTCTTTGTTTTTTTTGACTTTTGTTTTCGTTTTTTGTTTTTTGTCAACTTGACACAAGGCAAGGTCATCTGGAAAGAGGTAACCTCAATTAAGAAAATGCTACCCTCAGATTACTCTGTGGGAAAACTTGTAGGGCATTTCCTCGATTGACAGTTGATATGGAAGGGTCCAGCCCACTGTAGGAAACTCAGCAGTACATTTTACTTAGTTACTGATTGATGGTAGAGTCCCCAGCCCATAGTGGGTGCTGCCACCTCAGGCCAGATGATCCTGGGTGCTATGAGAAAGCAGGCTGAGCAAAACTTGGGGAGCAAACCAGTAAGTAGCACTCCTTCATGGCCTATGCATAAGCTCTGGCTACCTGGCTCCTGCTGAGTTTGAGTGACTTGGTACAGAGACAGGTGGAATAGAATAGAAGACCTGAAAATAAAGCCACACACACCTATTGACACTTGATCTTTGATAAATAAGCTAAAATCATCCACTGGACAAAAGAAAGTATCTTCAACAAATGATGCTGGTCTAACTGGCAGGGTGCATGTAGAAGAATGCTAATTGATGCTTATTTCTCACCCTGTATAAAATGCAACTCCAGGTGGATCAAGATCTTCCACATAAAACAGATACACTGAACCCAATAAAAGACAGAGTGGCAAATAGCCTTGAACCCATTGGCACAGGAGAAAATTTCCTGAACTGAACTCCAATGGCTCAGGCTCTAATATCCACAGTTGACAAATGGGAAATTTTGAAACTGAAAAGCTTCTGTAAGGAAATTGACACTGTCAGTTAGACATAACGGCAACCTACAGATTGGGAAAAGATCTCTGCTAACCCTACATCCGGTTATAGGGTTATTATGCAAAATATACAAAGAACTCAAGAAGTTATACTCCAGAAAACCAAACAACATAATCGAAAAATGGGGTACAAACTAAACAGAGAATTCTGAACTAAGGAATCTGGAATGGCTGAGAAGCACTGACTTCTTCTTGGAAATGAATTGTGTTGTAGGAGCTTAAGGCAAATCCACTGGTTCTTCCCCAAACTGCTTTTGGTCAAGGTGCTTATCATATAAATAGAAACCGTATGATAGGGACCACTCTCACCAGCAACTAAAATCACATTTGTTTCCTTTCCAGTCTCATCCACGTTAACGTTGTGAAAGAAAATGGCATCATTTGACTTCTCAACAACTCGGAAGTAATTTCTACCAGAGTCTGAAATTAAAACAGAATCAGCTTTAAATCAGTAGAATTGTTGGAGTTTTTATTATTATTTTACATATGACATAACAAATCTATCATATTTTTGTTTCTCCTTTCAATTATTTGACAAATGTCCTTTACAATAGTATAAAACTGTAAATGATAGCCAGTGAGTGGGAGAGATACTCTTGCTTCAATAAAAAAAAAATCTATTCTCAACTTAAAATAGGAAAGTCTATAATTACCTTATGCCTCCACAGCCTCTTTAAAAAGTAAAAATCATCAGGCTAATATTAAGGTACCACACTGTATCAGGGAGGTGGTGACTCACACCTCAAATCCCCAAAATCAGGATGATCCTTTGAGGCTAGCCTAGTCTAAGAACTAGTTCTAGGACAGCCAAGACTACAAAGAGAAACTCTGCTCAAAAAAATTAAAATAAGAAACAACAAGAAATGTGTGTGTTTGTGTGGGCGTGTGTTTGTTTGTGTGTCTGAGTGCATGCGTGTTTGCATGTGTGTGTGTGTGTAGCAGATATATAGTTTTCCATAAAATAAATCCTTTAAGAAATCAGTCATGCAGCTTTATGGGATTGCCTTCTCAACATCATTTGCACTTATCTTAAATAATAGGGACTGAAATGTCTCTAATAATACTCTCATATGAATGTGTGTAATGCACCTTAACTTTACTTGATCTCATAAGTGTCTCGAAGTTTAGCTAGGGTTGTGGAAGTTGCATCAGAAATTATCAGATAAAATTTTTCTAGGATCCTGGCCCCTAGGTCTGTCTCTCTGTCTCTCTGTCTCTCTGTCTCTCTGTGTCTCTCTCTGTCTCTGTCTCTCTGTCTCTCTCTCTGTCTTTCTCTCTGTCTCTCTGTATCTGTCTCTCTGT